ATGGCCTCCAACCTACTATAGCGATGGCCTCCAACCTAGAAGCGATGGCCTCCAACCTACTAGCAATGGCCTCCAACCTACTAGCGATGGCCTCCAACCTACTAGCGAAGGCCTCCAACCTACTAGCAATGGCCTCCAACCTACTAGCAATGGCCTCCAACCTACTATAGCGAAGGCCTCCAACCTACTAGCGATGGCCTCCAACCTACTAGCGATGGCCTCCAACCTACTATAGCGATGGCCTCCAACCTACTATAGCCATGGCCTCCAACCTAAGAGCGATGGCCTCCAACCTAAGAGCCTCTCCTGGGCTGAGGATTCATCCAAGACACTCGTACTGAAGGATACCGCCACATAGTGCTTCAGATGGCCTTGATTTCGTGTGGAGAGAGAGAGAGAGAGAGAGAAGAGCGATAGATAGACAAACAAAAACTCGCCTCTCCAGCTTCTTTGCTGCTTAGTCACGGGAACTGGTGCAAGGATAGCGCAATTGCGGGGCACAGTTGGAAAGGACGAGCATCCTATGAAAGTCATGGTTGCACATTGACTAGGATAGTAATCCATCAATTCCAAAACACCTCCTTGAACTTGAAGGTGATATCTGACAGCCTATCAAGAGGGAATGCTGGAATGCCAGCTGAATGAACTTAAGAATCCCTGATGAAAATCGTGCCTCTGCGCCTCATCAAAAATCCACTTCTCTGGTGTCGACTTTTGAAGCCTTCCATTGGGAATGAAGATGGCTCTGCAAAGCCATGCACTTGCTCTGAATCTAGGATCTGGGCATTCCAAGATATGCAAACAGGTAGCGCCTTGGAAAAGTACTTTGCGATTAAAACGTTCATATTGAAGCATTACGCAAGTCGATCTGCTGCATTCGTGACAAACTGAGAATTCCAACCCGATTTCTTCAACAGCATCCAAGCCCTTGTCAGTGAGCTCAAAGGTTACGTTCAGCAAACTAAATGCTCCCTCCTGAGAGATTCAAGAGAGTGCAAGCAACTAAATCTTAGGAAACTAAGCGCTTGTTGTCTGGCTGACATGTCTCCAGCCATCCACCATCACCAGCGCCGCATCCTACTATCAGCCTGAACTGCCAAATACGAAGGGAGGCAAAACCATAAGGAATAATGGATTTAATCGGATCATATTCGGAGCAAGCCATGCGGTATGGATTTACAAGCATCCATGATTTGCCAAGCGGCCCTTGTTGCTTTAACGCTGCGATGACCTCAACTACAAAGAAAGAAGTTGAAGTTTCCCCCAAAAAAACTGGGCCCAAATCATTAAGCCTGAGCCCTTCTGCGTCGGCCTCAAAACCTACTAGCGATGGCCTCCAATCTGCTAGCCATGGTACTAGCGATGGCCTCCGACCTACTAGCGATGGCCTGCAACCTACTCTGGGAACCAGATCAAGCCCTTCTGCGTCTGATCAGTAGTAATGTTAACATCTCATTAACAACACCCCTATGAAAAAGAAAAACAACAACATTATTTTTAACTTGTTCAGGGTAGGTCAAAACTCGCAACCTCAATAGAAAAATTTCAGGACTTTTGGCAGAGGGGATTTGGCAAAGGGTTTTCATTTGCGTTCACTCTGCTTTCATTTGCTTGCATTTTGCTGTCGTGCTGTTTTCTCGTGTTTCATGTTGCTTTCATTCTGCTTTATTTTGCTTTCATTCTGCTTTCATTTGCTTTCATGTTGCTTTCCTTTGCTTTCATTCTGCTTTCATTCTGCTTTCATTGCATTTTGAGAAGAAAAAGAAACAAGAAGAAAAAAATGAAAAGAGAAGAATAAAGAAATAAATAAAGAAAAAAGAATTAAAGAAAAAAAGAAAGGAAGGGAGGAAGGAAGGAAAGAAAGGAAGGAAGAAAGAAGGAAGACGAAGGAGGAAGAAGAAGGAGGCGGAGGAAGAAGGAAGAAGAAGAAGAGAGAGTGGGGGCAGGAGAGAGACCTGCGCGCACTTGCGCGTCAAAAAGTGCACATGAGCAGACTTGTGCCCAAGACCGCTAGCTTCTGATCCCTGCGCTGATACCACTAGGCCATACTGGGATGTGACAGCAAGGGAGGAAGTATGAAGCCAGTATGCCTGACAGCTGAGCTCATCTTTTCCTTGAAGCCACCAAGCCAAAAAGCACCAACCAGCGCAAACTGAGCAGTTGTTGGCTGGCTGCCTGCTGTGACTGAGGACGCCGGCTCGGCTGAGTTCTGGGCAAGGAAGCAGGATTGCGCCCTGCCTGAGCCTCCAGAAGACACGAGCTGTGTGTCCTATGCTACAGAACATGTCCTCTTCACGGGCTTTGTGGGTAAGTTTGGGGTGTCTTTGCTCAGTTCTGAGCACGGAAGCAGGATTGTGCAAACATTGCTTCTGTTGCCAGAAGACACAAGCAGTGATTCCATTGCTCTAACAGGTCTCGCTGGTTTGACATCTTGTCACCAGAGGGCTTAACAAACAACAGCCAGCCGTCAGGACCTCGGGCTTCTGATCACGACGCAGATACCACTAGACTATACAGGGATGTGACAGCAAGGAGAAATATGAAATCACGATGCCTGGCAGCTGGGTTCATGTTTTCCTTTCAGCCACCAAAACCGAAAAGCACCAACCAGCACAAACTGAGCACACAGGCCTTTGAGCAGTCTCTTGATCATGGGAGGGTGCTTTAAACCAAAACGACCCCAGTATGAAAAGTGCAGAAAGTGGCTTGGTTAGTTGTTGGCTGGCTTCCTGGTCCTCAGCAGCATGCAACCAAGCCAAGACTGACAAGGCCCTCAGATCCGACTCAAACCATGGGCCCTGCACAGGCAGCAGTTTGCGAATCTGTGGGTCTGGGCTGTGACTTCTGGATTTTTATATTTGGCAAACATGTCTAACAAGAGGTGTGTGCTTTGTGACTGTGAACTTTTCCTTTCTGGTGAGAAGAAGGCAGTGTGGGTGTTGGCGTCATTTTCCTTTTCAAGCACCAGGCAAGGATATGCCAGCGGGGCTGCGGGGGGGTTGACTATTGCAGGTTGGTTTATAATTGCAGAGGGTAGGAGTCTAAAGGGGCACCCTTTGAAGATAACTTTTTTGTATTTGCTTGATAGGGCGTGCATAAGGAAACCTAAAGCTTTTGGCTAGCCACAGTTTTTGGAAATCTGATGGGCAACGATAAGACAAGAACCCACAAAAGAATAAAAAGAAAGGAAAATAAAGAAGAAGAAGATAGGAGAAGTTAAAAGCAACAGGGAAAGCACAAAGCAAGGATAAGCCAGCAGGGCTGCGGGGGGGGATTGACTATTGCAGGTCGGTTTATAATTGCAGAGGGTAGGAGTCTAAAGGGGTACCCTTTGAAGATAATGTTTTTGTATTTGGTTGATAGGGTTTGCATAAGGAAACCTAAAGCTTTTGGCTAGCCAAAGTTTTGGAAAATCTGATGGGCAAAGATAAAACAAGAACCCACAAAAAAAGAAAAATAAAGAAGAAGACGATAGGAGAAGTTAAAAGCAAAAGGGAAAGCACAAGGTAAGGATAAGCCAGCAGGGCTGCAGGGGGGTTGATTATTGCAGGTTGGTTTGTGGTAGGGGGTAGGAGTCTAAAGGGGTACCCTTTGAAGATATGTTGTTTGTATTTGTTTGATAGGGGTTGCATAAGCAAACCTAAAGCTTCTGAGACACAATGAAAACAAATGAAAGCAGAATGGAAAGAAACACAATGAAAAGAAAAAGCATTCTGAAAGCAATTGTTTAAATCAATTTTGGGGTCTGGATGTTGGCGCAATTAAAAGTAGTATTGCAAAATCGTGGCAGGTCAAAAAGCTGATTGTTATTGTCTCATGGTTCATTGTATAATGACATGTTCACATTAGCTTCTTAAGCTAGTAGCTACTTGTTAGCCAGTGGCTTACCTCCTCTGCCCCCCGCCCTCGGCCTAAGAAATAAAGGGGTCGAATAGGTTGAAGGATGGCGACGGAGGTCGTGATTCCAAAGACGACCAAAACGCATTGAGCAACTGAGTGCAAAACCGATCCTTTGCCTTCATGGCCGAGCCTGAGTGGTCAAAACGAGCTATCGAATGCATTCGATAGAATGCAAACCCTCCGATGCAGCTCTGTCCAAATGGCCAAGCCACAAATGTCTGATGTATTGTGCAGGCTTGTATCGCCAAAGAGGAGCCTTGGCACAGCTTCAGCGCAAATGTTTGGCACGGCACAACTTGTACAGCCATTTCGTGGTGCCTGGTAGGGGATTACCCAGCTGAAGGTCAAGTCCTTGGCAGATCTTGCCAGTTTATTCTCCCACACAACCAGCTAGCATTGTTGCAGGTGCCTTCACATCCTGCACTGGATTCTGCAACAGCAGCTGATGCCACTCTGAGGGCAGAAAAGGAGGCTTTTCTGACACCTGGGTGATGCAATGCGATGCATTGAATGCATCACAAATTCTCGAGTCTCCTGCGAATTTAAGCCTTAGCTCTGAGACTGGCTCAGGTGCTGGCCGAGTCCCCAATCGGCATGCTGACCCCTTTGTTCTTTATAGAACCAAACCTTGGCTGAAGTTATGGGCAATAACAAGAAGCTACTAGGGGCTCCTGGCCTTACTACTAGGAGCGAGGACGCTACTAGGGGCTCCTGGCATCGCTACTAGGAGCATTCTTACTACTAGCAACAAGAAGCTATGGCAAGTGGAGAAGGTCGCCCTAGGAAGCTAGGAAGTGAGTTGTCTTTGGCGTAAAGCAAGAATCTGCAAGGGCCCATTCCATTTTTTAAAGCCTGTGGCCCCGCCTCCTTACTTAGTAGCGCCTACGTAAGTTCAGAGTGACTAGTTAGCTTCCAGTAACTGGACACAAGATAGCTCAAGCTTGACTAATGATTTGGTTCCTAGATTTTTTGGGAAACTTAACTATCAAAGGCAAAGGATGCCGCAGCATGCCCATGGTGCGAAGTGCCCACCAACTTGCCACAAACAGCAAGCGCAGCCAGTCGGTTTTATCTCACAGCTTTGGTTTGCTGAACTTGCAGCGTGTGCCGGGTGATGCATGTGCAATTGCTAAGAGGTATGCGATTGGTCTCCTTGCGGCAAGGTGCCTCAGTTTCTTGAAAGAAACCGAGCGCAACCACGACCCTCTCTGAGAATGCTGTCCCGATTGGGCTACAAATTGAAAGAATCCATCTACGATGCAGATTTCGACCCCTTGGTCTGGGCCTTCGAAATGAAGGTCTGCTCTCCAGGTGGGGAAGATGGAGGCAATTAAAAGCTCTCCAAAGTCAAGACAAGTACCATTCAAATCCATTCAATAGTTCTAAATTCAACTTAAATCACATGTCACAGGCCACATTGGTCAAATCCAAAGGATGCTTTGGAGAACGGCTAGTGATGTCTGTCCTTAGAAGTTGCCTTCAAGATGTTTGGCAGGAAAAGCAGGGACAAACATGAAAACGGCCAACGCTCAGCTCGCCTAGCTCTGATTGGCCCAAAGCAAACTGAGCAACTGGAATCCACTGTGCCACATCAGTAGAGCGAGCTTAGCATCGAAGTCTTGCACATTTTTGCATATTGAAATATGACTCCTTTACAGAGTCATTGGAAGCTGTGCCCTCACACTTTGCTCTCCATAGGCAAAAGAGATTTGGAGCGCGAAGGCGTGCTCCGAGCTGCAATTGATGCTCCAAGCAAAATGGCCTCAAGAGATTGAAGAAACGCTACTAGGAGCTACTGGCATCGCTATCAGGAGCATTCTTGCTTCTAGTAACAAGAAGCTACTAGGGGTTCCTGGCCTTACTACTAGGAGCAAATGGCCTCAAAGAACCGGTTGCTCTACCTGCGCTGTACCTTTCTTGTGAGCGTGCAGACATGGACGTGATCCTGAGGTTCAAGCAGCAGGGCCTGTCAAAGCAAGACCCCGTTGAGCCATGACAGCCACGACGGCAATCAGGACTGCATTCTTGATGACAGCAGCCAGGCGCGAAGCACGCCACGCTGGGATGCACGTAGGAATGCCCCGCTCCTCAAACATTCAAGAGATTTGCAGGATTTGCAAGGATAATAAAGCTGAAGAGACTTCTCAAATCAAAGCGATCTTGTAACACCTGTATACACTCTTCCACAGAAAGGTCAAGCCCATTCCTAAGACGAGCCTAGTAGAATGGCAACGGTCATTAAGATTTGGCAGTCGAGTTCTGTCATCATCAAACATCTGAGTCCATCTTCAATCTGACTAGGCTTTCTGCTGAGATAGAAGTTGGCAGCCTCAGCGACAACTGAAAACCTGAAAACTGGTGATGCAGAATGCTGCCAATGCCGTGCTGTGTCCTCACAAAAAACTGTTTGTCGACGAAGGCCAAGGAATCTCAGAAACATTCGGAAACTGCAGAGTCTTTGGCACACACTTCCTCCATTTCCGACTTACCTGATGTTCTCTGAGAGTGCGACAGTGGCTGCTTCTGCTGACCACATGTTGCAAAGTACGTCCTGCTGTTGCTGTGATCGGGACGGCATTCTCATCTTGCACAGAGGAAAGCTTTTATTTGCCATGTCCGAAGGCCAAGGACAAACTCTAGTGCTTGGGGTAAAGACAAGTTGTTCAAGACTACTTGCGGATTGTGGTTTGTAGCCGTCAAACAGTAAGACTGCATGGCTCAGAGCCATGCTTTCATATGCTTTCATGTTATTTTCAGGTACAGCAGCCCAGAAACAAAGGTATGAGACGGTATGGTATGACACGGTATGAGGGAAAGCGTGAAGTATTACAGTAGTCTATCAGTCTATCAGTTGCTGATGCTTCTGTCAGTCCTGAGTCTTCGGTTTGCCACAGCACCAAAGCAGTAGGGCACCAGAACTCTAACACAGCGAATGCCAACTCGAAGCCAAAATTCTCGAAATGCTGCAGCCAGGTGCTGAGCTAATGAAAGCTTCAAATGTGAGGTGCTGGCAGCCACCATAGAGACCCCCATGAAGTGCAAAGGGGTTGTGATCAGTTGCAGTGGTTGTGGCAGCAAAATCTGTAGCAGGTCCTGAAACTTCTTGCAAATGGCCTCCAACCTAATAGCAATGGCCTCCAACCTAATAGCGATGGCCTCCAACCTTCAAGAAAGAACAGCACACAAACAAAGGAACAATTAATTGAGACATGTGCCTGTGTCTGCACACCGCAAAGAGATTTGATGCCACGGGATGCAAGGAATCTGCTGAGAGGTTCTGGAATCACAAAGACCACAAGAGAAAATACGAGGTCACGTGCAACCCAAACCACCACAGCGTCCTCAGTATGCGACACACACAGGCCGATCTTCGAATGGCCGTGTCATCAAAAACAACAGTGTTGACTGGTCAAAGCCCATAGATGACAAGCAACGAAGGGTGGGGCAATGCCACCTGTAAGAAAGGCATCTTTCAAGCACATGATGACGCATTGGACAGTCGTGGTGCATAGCCAGACCTTAGTAGAGAGCTGAGGCAGCTGAGGCTGTTGCAATCAGCGTCTGGAGAGCTGCTACCCAAGACATGCCAAGACACATACAAAGCTGGTTGCCAACGGTTCTCCTCACAAATAGTTCGGACAGCATTTGCTGTCGCGTAGGTCCCGCCAAAAGTAAGCCATGTCAAGCCAATGGCAGGAAGAACTGTTCCTGGACGCCTTAGTCTTCAGCAGACTGAGTATTCATTGAGAACATGGGTGTAGCCTGAAGTGTCAAAAGACCGAAGCGAAGTGCACAAGTTCTTCTCAAGTTTAACCAAAGCCACAAGAAGCAGTCACCAAAAACTTGCCACAGGCAAGCAAGTGCACCTGGTGCATCAGGCTTACCAGCGCCTCATTTTTGTCGGACATTCCAAGTCAGGAGGAAGATCTGTCGAAAATGTCAAGAGTTGTTTCTTGTAGGATGATGGTAGTCACGTGCAACTTCCGGTTCGGCCGCATGTGAGGCTCAAGCGCAGCATGGCAAGATCAATTGGCGCCAGCAACAGAGCCAACACCAAGCCTGGCGCGGTCAAACTACCGCGACAAGCATAGGTTTATGTTAAGCTAGAATTACTACATAGTGTCTGTGTGTGTGTCATTCCCGAGCGCAGTGCTAAAGGCTACGAAACTCCAATGTAGCACGAAGCAAAGGCTGAGTTGTCAAGGTTCCTTTAATCTCTAAACCTTCAATGCATTTCCGTGCATGTCCTTCATTGCATGTTTTCATGAGTTTACCGTTTAGAAAGCAACACCTGCCTACAATTAGGGCTGCAGCAGCATCTGCTATGAGGCTACGCCGCATTCGAGATGGATGGCCTGTACCGTCCAAAGAGCGGAAGTACGATGGTGTTTCTTTAAGGGGGATAGACCGTAGGTAGAGGTGAGGTAGTAGCTAGGTAGCTAGTAGGGAGAGGTAGCTAGTAGGTACAGGACGCTCCTAGGTAGGACGCAGGATAGCTCACGCTTCTTCAAGGAAGTTCCCCCGCCCTGAGTCAGAGGGCGGGGGGAGCTTCCTTGAAGAAGCGCTCGCACTAATGATTTGGTTCCTAGATTTTGTGGGTCGGTGTAGTGATAGTGATATGTCTTCACCAAACCTTTGGGAATTTTGGAAACAGAACAAAAATAAGAAAGTAGCTCTGTGAAGCCAAGTCAGGCGCCTTTGCGAACGGCAGGCACTTTGCCGTTTCGACAAGGCTGCCATGGCAACGCAAAAGCCATTTGCGTGGTCATTACAAGTTACAGCTTCTAAAAGGTCATTGAGGAATGACATTCAATCGATCCGCTGTTTAACACCCCTGTGCACATGAAAGAATGGACACACAAATAATTACACTGAGTACCTTTTTCTGGTTTCCAAGCACACCAGAACAGATTCGGCAGGCGGGCACAAAAGTGTGAAAACTCTTGGATGTGTTTCAAGATAGCTGGACATATTTCATGTCATGTCATGTCCAAAGAAATGACTGTGGCCGTCGGTTTTGACACCGTGAAAGTGAACGCGTTTCGGCTCCATCTCTCAGCCAGCCGCTTGTCACGCAGAATCTTCTCCAGCTCTGCCGTTGACTCTTTGCCAAAGACACAAAGCCTGAAGAGCAAAACTCTGGTCACCAATAACGATACTATCACACAACTTGTTATTTTTCTCGCAAGTAGCGCTGTTGTAGTCCAGAGCTGACGATGCTGACGCTAAACTTGTAACAATTAAGCCTCACACGTCATTCCATTCGATGAGTAAGTAGACTCCTGAGGATATGAAAAAGGAAACACATTAACACAAGCACTCTCAAGACTGAGATAGCAACATAAAGTTTCTTCATCTCTTCGTAGAGGTCAATCCCGCGCTCTTTCGGCTCTTCCAGCAAGACCTCTGCATGACAAATTGCAAGAAACGACATCGTCTCAAGTCTTGGCCACTAGGCCTCTCCGAGAAACATGTTTTTTGTTTAAGCCCGGGGGGGTAGGCCGAGAAGAGGTAGTAGCTAGGTAGCTAGTAGAAGCAAACGGTAGCTAGTAGCTAACAAGTAGCTGCTACCTAGGCCGCAGGATAGCTCACACCATTAATTTTGTTCCTAGATTTTTAAGGAAACTTAAGTCTTTCCTTTTTCTGTTTTGTGTCTTTATTTTGTTCTTTTCCGCCTCTACTTGCAAGAACACTGGAAGAGAGAACAGTCGAGAACACCACCAATCCGCTTTATTCCAGATCTGGTCGACCTAGTCAGCATAGTAATTCTCCTTGCCTTGTTGTTTCCAACAGCCACGTGGAAGGGATGATCCGGATTAGCGCTCATGTTCATGATGCCGACCTGAGGAAAAGCCGTCTGAGCAAAATTCACTTATTGACCTACAATAGTAATAGATTTCAACATAGAGTATCAATCAAATATGAAGTATCCTGAAATCGTTGAATTTCATTGAACGCATGTTCAGAACATCTTGTCATTCTGACGGCTAACAAGCGCATGGCATAGCGCCACCAAGGCGAAGTCAAGCCAGCTTGATACTCTGAATCGACCTTGATAGCGAAGAGATGCTGATTAAGATATTGATATTATATTTAAAAATGATCAGGGCTCCTTCATAAGGGCCTTTGAAGGGCTCTGGTTGAAGGGGCCCTTGCCTTCTGTTTTCGGTCTCTCATGGCCAATCGGTGTTGGGTACAAAGTTGGTACGTCCACCATTGCCAGCTTTAGCTTCGCTTGTTCTTCGAGTTGTGCAAGTGCACAAGGATCGAATGGTAATCAGTCATTCTATAATAGATGTCTTCGCATGTGTCTCTTCCGTGCAACTACGCAAGCTCTTTGGGGCTCAGAGCCGCATTGATCTCGCGCTCAGTGCAATCCCGCGTCAGAAGCGGTTCAATGAAGAAGCCTGCGAAGCGGTCCAAGGCCTGCACCACAGTCAAAAGTGGCCTAAAGAGGTTTAAAGGTATAAGGACATCCATAGATTCTAAAACTCAACATAATCTCTAGTAAACAAAAACAAACAATAACATCAATATTCCGCATAGGAGCAAGGAAGCTACTAGGGGCTCCTGGCATCACTACTAGGAGCAAGGACGCTACGAACGGGGCTCGAAGGTCCCAGTGAGTGAGACTCGAAGAAATGGACAACAACAAGCACCGCAGCTATCCGCAGCTCTTCTTTGTTTACTTTTGACGCTAAAAAGCTATTCGCCAAAAGGGAAAGCATGACGGACATGCCAAACAGGTAGAGTCAAACATTGAGCTTAGACGTCTATATCTCCGGCATTGCCTCCACCAGAGCTTCTGGCTTGATCTCAAACCTAAAGATTCAGATATCATTGGGTGATGATCGAGTCGGAAAATGCTGCTTCTATGCATATTCTGGGTTGCCTGCATGTAGTTGGTGAAATAGCAGGCAGTATACGCATTGGCTGATCCCCCGTTCTGCTGGATGAACTCGTGGTACTCACCTTCACACGGATACAAGGTGAGACAGCGGTGGAAATGTGAATCAGTCTAAAGCTCCAAGACATGAGGCCCGTGCCTTCTTTGGGATACTTGGCCGTGCCGGTGAAAAGCATGTGTTCTAAGAAATGGGCTAGGCCGGGGAGATCTTTCCTGGCTCAGCACAACTTGGCTCGCAGAAAGCCATTTGTCAAATCATCATCAGGTCCTCTCGTGGCACATGCCCACGTTGACACAAAGTCCAGCTCCTGCCTGTGGACACACCAAGGCGTCTCACATCTGGATTCATGGTACCAAGTCCCAATGAGAAGGAGCACTGGTGCACATTTCGACGCATTCACAATCAAGACTTGCAAACGAAAGCTAGATGGAGTTCATGAGGGAAAGCTGTGATGGGTTGGAAAAGAACCTTTGACCTGTAAAACACATGCTATCAGCAATGAGTGCCTTATCGCATTTCGGATCAGATCCGATGATTGCTTTGAGGCCATTGTCAAGCTGCACAAAGGTGTAATCCTGTCACTTACATATGGCAAGACTCAACCACAAAATTGTCCAACTCTGTGTGAGATTTCTGCATCGCAAATTTGGTCTCCCTCCAGCTTTAAGCTAGTCAGCTACTAGTGACGGATCGCACTCAGGTTGCACGTACCTTGGACATGCCAGTCAAAATTGAAGCTCTTGGGAATGCCTGAATTTCTGAATGCAGTGCTCTGAACTTCATATTCTCTACTCTCTGTAATGATTGATGCAAATCCATCTATACCCACATATCAGCGAAATAGTGTATCTGAAGCAATCCGGGAGTCCATTTTGATCCCCTTGAGCCCAAGAGGCTGGCTTGCCAACTCCGTGTTGTCCTGAAGTGCTGCAACGGACGTTTCCCGAACAAAATCTTGCGAATTGCCGAATTGCGAAGGTTTTTCAAGAAGGCTTCCCCCGAACTCTTGCTACTACTAGCTACTAGCTTCTTTTCTTACTTTTCTCGCAGCCTGCTTCAAAAGAGAAAATGTCTTCAACTGATCTTCAAAACTCTTTCTGTGTGACCCCTGGGTCACCTCTTCACTCTGCCGTCCTTGTTATCCTTGAAGGCCTTCACGACCTCCTCTAACGGCAAGGTGTCGAAGGCTAAGTTCTTCAGATCTCGCCTTTTGGGGGGAAGTTGCAAAGCAGACTGATAAAAAAATGCTAACTGGATGCAAAATGCCTTTCCAGAAGGAGGTGAGCTGCTTCCCCAGCTCACTCTTTCATAGTTCAAAGCGTTTGAAGGTATCGATTTTGCTGAATCTCGAAAAGACTACAAAAGGGTCTCTATTTTCTCTTGAGTCGTTTTTGCTCTCTTTTGCTTTGTTGTGTGTTTTTTCTGTTTTTGCCTATTTAATTTGGACCTATTCTTCTCTCCCGCCTTTAACTCCTTCTATTTGGGTGCCCAAAGCTCATTTCATGATACGAGGGTCACAAAACAGGAGAAGGGTCGCCTGGCCACATAAAGAACCATCAAAGACGCCAGTGTAGCCATTGGCGGTCCGGCCCATATGCCATTTCGAGTTAGACCTCGCAGCACGCCCACCATAAGCATCACCTGATTCAATCACTGCGATCTGTCTTGGATGGATGTAAACAAAAACTCAAAAGGGACACGAAAAGATACGAAAAGCACTGCCTAAAGGCCATTGCTATTGAATTGGGTTGGGGGCAATTGCTATTAGGTTTCTATGTAAGCAGAAAAGAACTCAGGAACTCCCTTCTGCCGAGATACATAGATGGCGAGCACCAAGAAGAGTTGCTCGGTGGCTTGCACCCAGAAGACTCCTCCTGTGTCTGGCTTCTTGCTCTCGCAAAAGAGGAGCAAATAGCCAAAAACAAACTGTGCCAGGAAGAAGTAGATCCAAGTAAAGACCTAAAGCATCGTGGCGTCTTTGCCCAGGATTGGACAGTCGAATACAAGGGAAACAACTGAGCTGCAGACCAAAATCAACGGAGAGCAAGAGCAAAAAATGTAGAAAATCGAGGCCATCAAGACTGTACGGGCCTCAACAAAGGGCAACAAGGTCCGTTGAATATAACAACATTCCTCTTATGGTGGCGTCTAGGTCCTAGGTATCAGGCCATGCGAGTCCCCAAGCCATAATACGCTTGATCCTCTGGATCAGAGTACAATCTGGCCTCATCCTCCTGGCAGGAAAAGCAACACAATGGAGTTGCATAATTGTAAGTTCACCGTGAATCATCCGTGAATCATATTCCGTTTGAGTCTGGCCTCCAGTGAGCAAACTTGCCGGTAGAAAAACCATTTGGCCTCTAACGGAGGCAAAAGGAGGCACTGCCATGCTCTGCATTGCTCTGCTCCGCTCTGCTGCTCTGCCAAGGTGCCAAGTTCACGAGACGAAGCATATCCTTAGAGGCACCGCATTATGACTGAAAAGCGTCGCAGCGCCGCGCAACGCCGCGCAACGCCGCGCAGCGCCCACTGCTGCTGAAAATCCATGGGCAAAACCAGCCATCCCAGGATGACATAGTTGAAGTAGAAATGAGAAGCAGAGGGGAGGGAGGCTGCAAGCCTGGCAGATTCCACATTGTACAGCAACAAAAAATATTGTCAGAAGCTTGGGCTCTGGCAAACTTATGATTTTTGCTGGCTCCTCGTGTCAGGAAACTTGAAGAAACCTTCTATATATATATACTCGTTGTGTCTTTGGAAACAATACCAGAGGTCTGAGGTTCCCTCCTGCATGACAATGAAGAAAGTGATCGTTAGCCCACGTCCCAGCGAGGTCACCAGAACGACGAAGAGAAGCAAGAAAGCTGTGCTCCACTGCTGAAGTTTCAATTGCTCCACACTACCAGCTTTTAAGTGCAAAGTAGTTGTGATGATAAAATGGAGCACGCTAGGAAGAAACATCATGAAGATCTTCAAGGCCGCTGTGGCCAAGACACCAGACATCAAGCTAGCAAGGGCTGGATGTGCATCCAAAAACTTCTCCACCGCTGGCACAGTTCCCTGAATCGAACTCAGTGTTGTCCATCCAGAGATTGCAACAACGATCGGGATCCAAAAGAGGAAAACGGCCAACAGGGCTAATCTGCCTCGCAGAGAAAGCAGTGTGGACAGTGAAAGGACAGAGAAAACCTTCGGATGCATGATGAAACAATAGATAAGTTGCTCTTCCCTGGAAGTTCAACACAACGTTCAATCAACCCGTCAACCCGTCGATGCGACGTTTCGATGGCGGGCAACTAACCTTAGTTTTTCCAGTCTTGAGCCAAATCAGGTTGGCGTCCAGTGACACAGTGCAAACGGCAAAGCCGATTACCGATGATGCAAGTCTTTACATGACAATTCCAGTCTTGGATAAGTGCTCCTAGACATCAACTATACATGACGTGTCATCTATACATGAAGTGTGCACCTCACTCAAAGCTCAGTTCTTCTTGAGGGCGTTTCTAGCTGAGGGATTTCTTCTCCCCCCTCTGACTCCTGAGCTGCTCGACGGCTTGGGATCAGTTCTGAATCCCGGGCTATCCAGCTGGTTCGGAAAGGTTCTGTGGCACACTGTACGGAGGTATTCTCTTCGGCTTGTGTTTCTGCCGTTTCTTGTACCCTGGCTGGGTAGGGCCTGCCGTGCCCTGAGGTCCTGTCGCTACGTCTGTCGTTGGTGTATCTGGCTGCAATGCCATCTGTTTGTCCAGCTTCAGGCCAGTGCCTGAGGTGTGTTTGATGGTGTATCCATCAAGGTGCACTCCAAGGTTTTGGAGGGTTTTGGGCCATAGTGCAGGCTCCACTGCTTTTGTGAAAGCATCGGCTTTCTGGTCGCTTGTTCCAACAAGGCTCAGTTCCACGTCATCGCGATCCAACTGCTCCTTCACTGAAGCCAAACTCACGCGATGTACGCGTTTGAGATGCCTCAACTTCTTGGAGTATCCAGCAGTCACGACCTTCGCGCATGCAGTGTTGTCTTCGCGAAGCCTCAACAACACAGGACGTCCAAGCATTGCGGAATACAACTCGAACAATGGCAAACCCTCTTCAAAGAGCACATACGACAATGCGACAGTCTCTGCCTCCGTCGTGCTTCGACAAGTAGCCGTCTGTTTCTTCGACAGCCATGCCAAAGGAAACGATGTCCGCGGCCCAGACAACTGTAGCCATCCGCCAGTGGTACTGTGGGTGTGTTCATCGTCTCCGCAGTAGTCTGCGTCTGCGAAAAGTTCAACAAACACATGTTCCGGCGCATCACGCACATGCCCAAGCAACATAGCGTTCTTGGTGCACTCGAGGTAGCACATGGCACGGTATAGGTACGCATCACAAGCTTGCGTCCAGGACTGCACCATGGTTGCCAACCAAGTCACAACTCTCAGCAGGTCGGGACGAGCAAGGCGCGCCAACCACATCAGTCTCATCAGAATGCTACTGGCTGAAGATGCCAGAGCACCACGCTCTTCTGCTCCAACGAACCCCTTGCTGAGAAATGGCGATGCGACGACTTTCATCTTTGGGCTGTTCGCAACCCTCAAATACTCTTGAACAGTAGCCTCAGCGTAAGCACGCATGTCAAAGCCAAAGAACTCTGTGTTGTCAACCTCGACAGTGGAGTGGTGTCGACCAAGAAAGCGACCCAACGGTCCAATGTCATCAATCAACACCTTTTCACCCAACGCCTCCCAGAAAGGCTCGTGCCACTGACTTGGTCCTGAGAGAATCAAGTCGTCCACGTAGACAACCAATGCCAATCCTCCGAAGGTGGGGACGGTGAAGGTGGATGCAAACTCTTCAACCTTGACTGCTCCTAAGAGACACAACTGTTCTTCAAGAAACTGTTGCCAATGGGCCCCAGCTTCTGGGTGTCCATATAGCGATTTGCGCAATTGGCCTTTTGAAGCGAGGGTAGCCGCTTGGGGTGAACCAAGACTCAGGCCACAACTCTCTTGGGAGACGGATGTACGTGGCAGCCAAACTTTTCAACTCCGATTGGAGATACGCCTTGACGGCGTCTGCCGACGACAACTTGTGTCCCTCAAAAAGACCAAAAGAGATCACGCTATTGGCTGCAACTATAGACGCAGGAGACGCAGCTAACGTCTGGTAAAGTGTTAGCTTTCCTTCAGCCGTCTTTGCAGAATCACCACGATAGCACACGCGACCCTTCAGAGCGCGAAGCTCTGGAGCCAACTCAACGTGCTTCTCGCTGCAAATAGCAAGCAAGTCTGCAATGTGAATCGTCTCTCCACTTTGCAATGCAGCCTCCTTCACGCGGAACTCTTCATCAACCGACTCAAGCTCCCATGTTCCCATGGAACCAACACCATCGAACTCCTTACGGATCGCCTGCAGTGCATCAGGTCGGGACAACACTTCGTTCCGGGTGAGCTGTCTCGTCACCAGGGCATACACCCCAGCCGCAACGTCTTCCGGTGGGACATACCCCTCGGGAAGCTCATCAGGAGAGTACTCGGGACCCTCAGTGGTCTCCGGCTCAACCCAATGTTCCTTCTCTACTGCTCCTGTGGAAGAGGAAGAAGAAGTTTTCTCTGAACTCTTAGGCATTGGAAGCGGTCCAGGTGTCTTTGGTGCTCCGACATCTGGCGCCGGTGTAGGTGGCGCTGCAGCTTCTCTAGGGAAGATGGCATCAAATCGCTCGCGACATGCCTTATTGTGGCGGTAGTGACCACCATCACATCCAGGGCAACCCTTCGTAAAACCATGCTCCAATAAACGTGAAAAAGTAATGTATGCATGACGTGGGGGTGCAACTGGGGTATCTTCCGGAAAAGCATCAATGTCAATGTCATATGGGAGCACGCCCGACTCAAGAGACCTGTCATAGATCTTCTTCTTCACCTCAACATCAGGGTCAGACATTTCCTTCAACGCCTTCATTGCCGCGTTGGACAAAGGAAACTCAATGTATTCAACAGGAGGAAAAAACACCTCCTTCTCATGCAAGTCCTTGGGACTCCAATGCAAATGCGCTCTTGCACGGACAGCTTCATAGTCAACAACTTGTACGACATTGCGGTATCGCAAGCCTGAGTCAACACGCCATCCAGCAAACAAGCCTGGTCTTGTAGTTGGAGCGGCCATTCCATCGCTCTTGGCCCTGTAGAAAACAAGTGCACCAAGAGGGTACTTCACTCCAAGAAAGGGCTCACCTGTGCAAACCTCCCAACGGGTCTTGCCAGTCTTGAGCTCCTCAATCTCCGTCCCACGCTCATGCTTGCGAATCACACAAGGCGACCAAAAGGCACGAGCTTTAGCAGTGTAAACAACGGAGATCGGCCACATCTTCTTGCTGAAGCCGGCCTGGAGATGTGCTGGTCTGCGCAACTCTTTCAAGGCCCTCACCTCACGTTCGACGTGGGCCGCGTGAGGCCAATCCCTGGGGATGCTCGGGGATATTGTCCAGCACAGCCTGGATGCCGCTCCGGTCAACTCACCGGCTGCATCTGATTTAAAAATGACACCGGTATCACCGTTCAACCTATGGCCACCGAAGTGTTTCAAAGAGTTGTAACAGGATTCTTCTGACCTGTCTCTGGCCGGATAGGCCATGCTCAGACCGGAGAAGAGATCAACGATCACCAGAGCCACCTTCTCCCCAGCGTTGCTCACGCTCTCTTCCGACGGAAACATGTGGTCGGCTTCGAGCACACGGCCAAAAGCAGCCGAGCGTTCATACGCTTCATCACTAGGCTCAGGTCGAACTCCGTGGGCATATCTTTTCAACATCCGACCACGCACACAATGTTCACAAAAAGGATTCTTCTTCGCGTGGGTCGTGATGTGGTCTAGGCTCTTTGCCTCACGCTTCAACCTATCATCTCTCGACTCTGCAAATTCAGCTTCGTCGTCCGCAGGGGCAAGGTCATCTTCAAGCTCGGCGGGAGTTGCAAAGGTATCAACGGTTTCAATGACCAACGGTCCACGGTAGACCTGTTCCTTTGGCTCCTTCTCGACATGCTCCTGTGCAACCACGCACACGGCTGCCTCACAAACGGGCATGGCGGGCACCTCCTTGAAAACAAGGTCAGGAAACAAAGAAGAGAAGACAATCTCACACATGATCTCTGGGTATCTTGCAGTCGTGCTAGTATTGGATCCTGTGATAGGTGCATGTTTGAAATCAGTACCATGCTTGCAGCGACACTCGTTCAAGTTCTTCGCGAGGTTCTCGTTAGTTGTTGCCACTCGCCACTTCTTGAGGAACGGTGTGCCCTGCCAATCAACAAGTCCAACTGCACAACCATCAAAATTCACCACTGTCATGCCAATGTCTCGAATGAGCTGGCACAATGCAGCCTGCTTCCAACCCAATGCATGTCTGGGCCATTCAAAATGAACATCTCCACCATGCTCAACAACACATTTAGCAAGCTCACAAAAGCGATCAAGCAGCTTCAACGACAAGTCTCTCGACTTGGCCAACTTCTTTCTGAACTCTGCCCCATAGCGGTGTGCATTGAGGTATTGCCATTGGCTCCACGGGCCACAAGGAAGGCTAGCCCACAAATCAATACCTGGATGTTCACGAATGAAATTCTTCAGGTGTGACGTGGTACTCTCATATCCTAAATTGTTCACCTCCTTGGTGCAACGGGTGACCTTGACGTTCAACCTCTCACCAACAACACCTAGGTTCGAGTCCGGCTCGGTGCACAACTCAATGAGCATGCCACGGCCCTTAAGGCCAGTCTGCCTTGAACGCTGCTTCACAGTGCTCGCAGTCAAACAGGTTGGGTCAGTCTGCATTTGTGGTTGTTCAAAACTCTCGAGCTCCTTCATCACCTCGACGGCCAGTGCCTCAAAGCGTTTTGCTATCTTGCCTTTATTGGCCTGGGCCTGCGCGGTGTAGAACTCAACCATGTCACGCATCATCACAACCATAGACAACTCACCACGCGGAAGCTTCTTCTGCCCCTTCTCAACAAGACGGGTCTTCTTCATGGCCTCCCACTTGCGACGTTTGTTGTCTTTGCGATGCTGCCTCCTTCTATGCTCTTTGTTTGTTTCTGTCACAACCAAACCTTCAACCGGCACCTCACACGCGCTAGAAGCTGCGATTTCCTGGTCTCCAACTTTCAAGCCT